TCAGGGGCCCGACGTTGTATCCTTGGGAAACGCACTTTACACGAATGTTCCTAATTTCACCCAGGTGGGAATGGGTACCCGGCCTTAGACAGTGAAAGATCTTGTCAGTTTGTTAGTGTTTGTGAGCGCTTAACCAGCTACTGTATGCTTCCCGGGAAGCTGAGAATGTTTCTGAATGTTCGTCTTATACAGGTGGTTGTCTTGAACTTCAAGGGGGGAGGGGGGGCAAGTGGGAAGTGGGAAATGGTCGTTTGAACAGGTGATTGTCTTGGACAGGTGGTCGTTAGAGGCAGGTTCGACTGTATTTTCTACTGCTTCGATTCTATTGTTTTACCCTGCAGCGCACATATCGGGAATGAACTAATGGGGCTTTTGTTTTGATTTGTTTTGTTTTATTTTATTTTGCTTTTCTTTTTGGCTACATCTTTTTTTCCTATTTTGTGTATACACGAATGGCTTTTGTCACGATACCCTACATTTTGTCTGTGGAACACAAAAGACATTACACGGGGAAGGATATGAATATATTATAACTACAGACATTTCTAGAAGTCTGTGATCTTTCCCAGCGTTGGTGGTGTACCGGTTAGGTGGTCCGCTGTCGTACGCAGAAGGCGTGAGTTCGATTCTTGTGAGGGGAGCCTTTTTTATTAAGTACATTTGTTGTATCTCTGTCTGTCTGCGGGGACATTGTATCCCTCTGAGCTGGGGTTGGGCCTGTCTGTAAGAATCGAAGGAAGCCCGTCTCCTAAATGACAGAAACTGTATGGATAGGGAAGTAAAACTTCGACAATTTTATATTTTGTATTGACCGTGTTAAAAAACCGAAAAAAACCGTGTTTACCAACCCGCTACAGGGAGCAACAACACAGCGTCCTAACTGACACACAGAGAGACATACATACAGACAGACAGACAGACAGACAAACATACAGACATACAGACATACATTCGATCAAACAACACACCCACACAAGAATCAAACCCACACCTTACTCACACAAAATCTTTCAGCCTCCTAACTACCACATCACCACACCACGCACACAGATTATGAAGTTAATACATTTTCGTACAAAAGTTTTTCAAGTTAAAAAAAAAGATTTAAAGAACAAAACAAAACAAAACCAACCCAAACCCCCCAAACAATAAATCTGTTTAGGACAATCGATATGAGTGGATTGGGGGTGGAGGTTTTTTTTCGTGTTTTATTTTGTGAGTGATCTTTTGTTCTCTAATGATATTTGTCATGCGCAGAAGTGTTGCGCAATAGACAGGCATCTGGCATGCGTGTTTGTCTGACCCATCAACCAACTGCGCACTCACACACACATACACACACACACACACACACACAA